ATCACTTTATACCTTTCTACGAACAAATTCTTTCTCCCTGTATATCCTTATGTGCAATCTTTCTTTTATATATTATTGCCATTGAAGTAACTACCTCTATGAGTTTGGTGATCATGTTGTGCTAATGAGGTGTGGCAATTTGAACCGATGTATATATGTGCCTTATTCTGTTATAGATGACTAAATGTTCGATAGCTGTGGGGTTCAATTTACTTGATTCTGACTGTTAAGCAAAGCATACAGCATGGTGAGTGCAAAAAAATTTGGTGATTTTTCCCACTGAGTGCTGTTTAAAATTCCCTAGTTGTGATACATATATTTGAGTCGATATACTTTGAAAAGCGTTCTGAATTTCGCTATGTCGTAGTGAATTTAACTAATCATGGACAAATTGTTCACTTAATTGTTTCTTTGCATGTTCGAACTGATATACACACAGATAAATATCTCCAAGTATATTGTAACTTGCCGTTTGAAGTTAACTCGATATCTCTTTACTTAATCTATCGCAAGCATCCACTTTGTTTTTAGTTGTTTTAGAAGCCCCCAAATGCCCTGGTACCTCCGAGAGTGGGGAGAGTCCGCTCTCCCTATCGAAATGCTCTCACATGGCCATGCGTATATAGCCTCTGCCAGGGAAGTCCTACTCACCGCCTTCTCGTGGCGGGGGTGTTGTTTACGAAAATGTGAGGACGAAAAGCGAATGTCCTGCGCTTTAACCGGATCCCAAACCAATGGTGCACATGGGCTCCAGTATCCTGAAGGAACAAATGGCGTATGAACCAATCGTTGGTCACCGGCTACCATGGGACTGCTTCTCCTTACGATGCTCCATTGTAACAACCAGAAACCAGCAAACTTTTTTACAAGACAATTTCAAAACGTATATATACAATTATATATACATCGATATTGTCATGGAGCTTTGAAACATTTAATCGATAGTTCGTCGATTGACTGCCATTGAAATATTTAAACATTTAATCGATAATTTCGTCAATCAACTATGTGCGTGGGCGGTAAGAAATGCCCACGTATACATGTGCATACAAGCTCCACAAGATAAATTACAAACTATGAGTTTTTGGGGATCTATCGTCCCCAACAGTATGTGAACTCACAAAACCCGGCCAATGTTTTGAATGGTTCGAAATTAAACGATGAAAAGCCAAAAGCTTTAGTCTAGTATATTAAAATACACGATAATACATAAATCTTGAATTCTCAACTTGTTCATGTTTCTTGACTTTCCTCGTTATGAATGTCTTTCAAACAAATAATATTTTCATATTCCTCAAGCTACCTATAATATAATAATGTTAATTCTATGTTTAATATGTCACCTCACCACAATAAATAATAATACCCAGGTACATAGATTGAAGTAGATGTACACTCAGTGTTTGTTCATGTCTGCTTTACTGCCTCGTTTTTGCTTTTATTTAAGGAGCCTACTAAATTATCCCTGGATTCCGACCAGTTGGATAAGTTGGTAACCTCCAACTCCTCTACCTTGAAAGATATTACGGTTGCAGCCATAGGATCTATTGGTGAAAGTATTCGGCTGAGAAGAGCTGTCGGGCTTTGTGTCCCTGATAACACTAGCGCAAGTTGTCTGGCTATTTATTCACACACGAGCTCAGAGAGTATATTACAAGGGATACGAGATGTCCGCTTTGGAAAGTATGCTGCTATCATTCGCTATAGACCATTGAATGACAAAGTAAGTCTGGCTTTTATTTGCGACTCAGCTCGTGAGCCATATTGAAGCATAAAACTTCAACTAATATTTGACATACTTTGGAATGCTCTCTGAACTAGTTGATTTTTACATGATCATCACCCTAACTTAATTCTAAACACTACAAGCTTTTTTCATTTAATAAAAAACTCGAATGTCAGATTTCTTCGATAGAACCCATTACTTATATCACTTTGCGCTTGCAAAAACGGATTTAGAAATACGTTTTGAGTGTGAAATATTTTTATATTTCCAAAAAAGGAATGGCTTATTTCAAATCAAAAACTGTACAATCTGTCAGAAAACTATGTAGTGAGGATCCCAACTACTTTTTGTGTCATATGTAAAGCTTCTTATTGTTCTCCGACATTTTTGTTTCATGTAGAATCGAAGCTCTTAAAAAATGTTGGATATGAATTTCAGCGTTCTAGATAAAAGTACATGTCCAATGTACATGCCTATCATTTTGACTTTTATTCACACAATTCTGGAGACTACCTAATTTTTCATCAGAACTCACTACAACAATAGAAAATTAGATACAAATATCAGCACTATATTGTTCTTTCAAAAATGCAGTTGATTAATTTCATTTTTTTTAAAATCCAACCAGGAATTTACATCCTAAGCAACATAAATAACTTGGTCTTAGTTTCTAATTTTAGAATGTGAGGAAGCTAACCAACAACATTGTACTTGATATGATTGCTTGATAAATATGATCATTATGTTGGCGTCTAAAATATTTTGTTCTTATTCTATTCTTTACGGCTTAGAGCAACAGTTAGTAACTTCATGGATTCTTGCCAATAACTTAATTATAAAACCCTCAATGTATATCCAGCTTACTCATACAGCACAAGCCATCGAATGTTGATTGGTGTATGTGAAATTTCGGCGAGAAACACGGACTTCGTTTACCTAAGCAGTTATCTCAGAGCCTGATATAACGTTAAAGGTAATACAGCTTCTTGAATAATTAATCAATCATTTCATCCCCTATTGTAAAACTTGGTAACTCAGTAGATTATCTATAAAGAATTATCTGACATCTGAAACTGCACGATGATGGGCTGTTTCTTTTCATTATATATATTTTACCATGCTCAATAATTAACACTTCTAACCCTTTCACTATGTTTCCTTTTCATTTTATGTCAGCCTGTCAATGATCCATGGTATGAACGAGCTTCACGTTTAGGGAGACAAGTTTGTCAGCATATTGTTGGCATGAATCCAAATCCTGGATTAGAATCTGTTGAAAATCCAACTGCCGACCCGGAAGAAGAGAAATCTCTTCTGCTACAACCCTTTCTATTAGATGAAACTATACGTGTGGGCGAACATTTATCACGGAATGAAATGGTCCTTGAAGACTTTGTTCGTGTTGAATGCGGAGATGATCGAGTTGATAATTCAAAGAATGTATAAAACACGGAAGTGCGATTACTACATAATCATCTTCAACATGTATATTCAGGATGATTGTAATTATAATCTACACTTATCAAATTAACTGTAACTTGTTTATATTATTTTCTGTACAGAATTAGTGAATATTGTTAATAATGTGAGCAATCATCGATCAAATGAATTTCTTCAAGGCATTTAGCAACTATAGTCTAAGATATTTCCTCAGGTTCTTTTCAACGTTATTTTCTTCCCTAAATTTTATACTATGTTTTCGAACAAGAACGGACTGCCCTTCAAATACGTTGATGTTGTCATATTTTTAATTTATATTACTTTTGGAGTACATAATTATTTAGAAATTGCTCATTTGAATATATATGATATTCATATTATGTGGAATGCAAATCTTTGTATCGTATTCCTATTAAAATTTCAGTTATCGTTTTCGAAGAGTATACGTACTGACTGACGAACCAGTAGATAATCATATTTTAGGTGGTTAATATCAAGAATTTTAAATTTTACAAAAATCCTTATGAATTCGATAGATTTTAAGTTTTTATATTCACATTTGAATATTCTTCAGTAAGCGCTTACTCATCAGATTGAAGACTGTGTAATAAAATATTCTGCATATTCAAACGCAGTCAGAACTCCACGGAAAGTCGAATCTTATTGTTTGGAAACTCATGCTTGTCTATGGCCTAGAATGAATGTTGGCCTTTCCGGTATTGTTAGTAGCAAACGTTCTTCTGTGGCCGTTGGTGCATTTACGTAGTGACCTACTACTCATTGTATTGAGTCTATTTCAACGAAAAATTTGTAGCAAATATTTAGTTGTTTTGGCTTACCTAAAGTGTTGACATGAGGAGAGTCAACCTCGGTTTTGATAATCAGAATTTTCCAAACTTAGTTTGTTGAATACAGATAAACATGTCAAAACTCTCTCTAAACATCCTCAATCAAATGGTCAGGTTCAAAAATTCGTGGATACATTTGAAAGAACACTTATCAAAGTGCTTGAGGAAGGAAGAGTCGAAGAAATACTGCAAACGTCTTCAATATCCAATCATCCAGTTAATAATTAAGTTTCCTTAATGGAAGTCACGTTTGGAAGAAAGATTAGAATATCTCAAGATGATCTTTAAGACTATTTCTAAGCTGAACAGAAAAATAGCGAATCGATAAGACAAATTGTACGGAACATTACCTAGAAAATTCACAACTGGACAACCAGGGATGATATGTGATTTCCATAGTCCAAACCCAACATAGATACCGGAGATTATCACAGGCGAGGACATATTATTTATGAAGTCAAAGAGATGGTACGCTCACCATTTAAAACATACGAAACGAGGATGTGTAGGAAAGATCACTAGAAACTCTCCTATTACGTTGGACATATTAGCCGATTTGAGCAATAATATAATAAGCCAACCAAGGATGTCTCAGAAAAAATTAATGCCACCCTCAATAGAAAGCAGATTAGGATGAGACCAAATGCGGCCAAGCCAAGACGTTACCTTTCCATAAAATCTTTGATTATTCGTCTAATTTATGTCAAAATGTGTTGATTTCCCTGCTGACGTCCGCATGACTATTGTACCCTCTTGTTGGAAGGCTTACATGACGTTGCTCGAAATCGTTGATATTGGCACAAATGCATTAGTTCTTGATATTTTCCAAACATTTCAGTCCTGATATTATTATATACTTCTTTATAAAGAACTTTTATCAGTATATTTATATGACTAATTTTCCTCCACCTCAATCATCTACAGTTTTCAGCGGTAAATATTCCTCATCATTCAGGATTTCTTAATAAAATAAACACAATAATAGTTTATATTCAACATGAATTATGTATGCTAAGTAAGCTGTGTCATTACTAAAATTCTATAAACAGTATACAACTATTATCATAGCTGTCACTGTAGTTACAGAAAAGATACAAGTTATTAATAATAGATATTTAGCAATCCCACCTGATATTTCTACGTAACGTGTCCCTTGTACTTGTAACATTTTTAATTTTTGTATTTCTTCTGATGAATCTATTCTATTTATCATCAGTATTTCATCTGAACAAGGTTTCATATCGCAGAATTCTATATGTAAATAACCTAAACCACCGCTACATGCCTCACCTAAACAGTCACGTGTACGTATACGTCTTCGATGATTATAAAGTCCACAATTTGGTAAACATTCAGACCATGGTGACCACTGACCCCATTGTCCACGTGTTAATTCACAATATTTTCCATATGTTCCTTCAGGACAAATACAATAACTTTCCTGGAATTGAGTAATAATACAAAAAATAAATGTAATTTTCATTTACTTAAATTAGCTAAAGTTTGTTTTGATAAATTGTTAGTAAATGCAATAATTCTCAGAAAATCAACCATAAACAGAATTTATTTGAAGTTGCCTTTTTGAAATTGATGAACAGTATGTAAAGTCATCTCCAGCCCATTGGAATGTGTATCCATAGTGGTCAAGTTTCGGAAGATGTCGAGTAATTCCCTACATATCTGGACTAATTTCATGCTGTCATTCCCGGTCAAAGCTCCAATAAACTTTCTAAACTTTTTCTTCATAAATGTTATAGATCACTTAGAGAATTATTGAAGTAATTGTGATTAATTATTTTTTTATTTATATACTTCATTTATCGGATCCCGTTTTGAGTTGCATAGCAGAAGACAAAATGTAATACAATCGAATGTTCTGTTTTATTTGTCTATTATCGATATACTTCTACATTTACAGTTACTGAAGCATACAGTTCAATGAATACAACTCAATACCAACACATATACATGAATCCAAAGTATTGTATTCTATAAGTCAGTGAACATGACTGGGATGAAACTACTTAAGTAGTTCAAAATGGGCTAAAACAAATGACTCATTTTATTTCAGATTAAAATTCACAAATTGAATACCAAATGTCCAATCGAAACTTATTATTTTTTAACGAGTGCACTCATTCGAAGGATAAAAGAGATAAGAAATGAATATTCTTTGGTACATTGGAGAATAGTAAAATTACCCGATAGTAAGGTTTATTACATTGAAGGTTTCCTTTATTCTATATTATCACTTATGATCATAATACTGATCTTAAGTATCCGATCACATGAATGGAGCTTTTTTTTTCCATTATGCCTGGTAACCGAGCCTTCACTATCCGTGCTTAAGCCGTTCACTTGAATTATTTCGCCTACCTAACTATATTACTTTTAAGCACATTAACCAAATGATTAGGCAAATAATCCATGAATAATAAATAACGTCTGTTTTCTTACTTGTCCATCTTTTGAACTAACACAATCACCATGATTGCATACTGTACTGGCACATCGATCTTTAATTTGTAAACAATTTGGGAAAGGATAAGATGGATCACTGGTTAGTGATCCTGGACACCTGGAAAAACAGTTATGACTTAGTACTCTAGTGTGTATGAATATAAATTCATCATATAAGGAATCCAATGTAGTATGAAATTACTTAATGTACGCAATCGCGATTGCTCAGGTTCTGAGTGTTTTAAAGAACAGTGTATTAATGATATTGACTTGCACTCACTTTGAAAATTTCGTCCATAAACAATTAAGCCTGGAAAAAATCAACTATACCCCGACATTATAATTAACTGAACAAGGAACTTTTAACACTATGTGACGCACCATCACGTGATTGGCATACATTTTACTGTTACAGTTAAATATATATTAGTATAGAGCTATAATGAGAAACTAATTGAAAAGAAATAATTCCCTCTATTTGTCTTTCTCGAAACGGAACTTTTTGCTTTTCAGAAATTTTTTGTCAATGACTTACGTTTTTTCAAACCATAGTGTCGCAGATACATCTACTCTGTCAACTTTTGGATCCCGGACTTCAGAGTTACTTTATGACATTTTTCCTTACGTTTATTCATCTTGTGTTATAGGAACTTGAGGTGATGTGCAAATCTGCCAGGTTCTGCATTTCTTATAGCTGACTATACTATTTTAAACGATGCACATTAATAAAATTATTGCATTATGATTAACACATCAACATAAATTTCCTTTCGAATCAATGACAATATTTATATGAAATTTATGAAATAACCAACAACTAGTCAAGAGACTTTGAATAAACACTCAAACTGGTATCGCTTCAAGACCTAACTAACTTTCTGTGGAATCAGAGAAACTAACTTCAAGAAATAACTGATTCGATCTGATAATCTACCCACAGGACTGTTCACTGAGTCCCAACCGATTAGTTATTAGAATTATAAACACAGACGGAATACACAAATTGAGAATTAGGGTGGCCTCATAGGTACATAATATTCAAACAAATTAGTATGGCTTATACAAATATTCATCGATATTAAAACGAATAGTTTGACAAAAATTTGGCGTTCAGTATAGCTATAAATCAATCAACATATAATTAGAGATTTATCAAGGATCGAAGTCAAGGTCACAATGCAACCGATGACTTCATTTTTTCCTGTCGTAGTGGTATCTGATTTTATTCTTCAATTAGAGAATTAGAAAGAAATCATAATATAAAGTCGGGGATGCTCGAATAACAAATTATGTTACTAAAAACTTTGGTTTTCATATAGAAATATCTCGTTCGGCAGCACTAACTGTTTTAAAGCCCATTAATATATATTTCCTCGTGCATATGGCGATAAATCATATGCATCTACTGATAATCCTAAAAATGATATAATCATATTTTAGAAATGACTTGGTACAGCAGGATTAAACGTTGTTGATACCATGCTCTTCTAAACATTGTGCCCGGAATATAAACAAAGAAAACGACAATAATGGTCGGAAGAAACTGTGTACATAACCGTAGACGAACATCAAGTTACTAGGTTGGCTATCTACAGGATCAGAGAAACGTCATAAGAGTAGCGTGCTGGGAAGTGAACAGAATATTTGACTAAAAGTTTTCAGATATTTAAATCCGTTAAGACCAAGAAGGTTATCAGCGATCTTTTTTTGCCAAAAGTTTGTTATGCTGTGTTGTGAACTACAAAACTGTTTTATTCATGATAAAATATAGCTGTAGAAAACCGTCGTAACTTAGTGATAACTTTAGTCCACTCAGTCGTAAAATTACATTCTTTGCCATATATCCACAATCTTTGAGTTTGACCTGGGTTGTCTTTTTATGTATTCTGTAAAACTGTAAGTTTTCAGTTTGATTACGCATCATTGAATTGTCTGGAACAGTCAATAGTAAAACTACTCCTTACATAAATAAATAAAAACCCATGAATTTGATTGAACTAACTGGCAATGATAGGTGTTTGTCCCTAAAGTTCCTCTGCATATACCACCATTTGCAACGTTACATGCCATATTTCCTCCCATATGAACATTGGAAGCCAGTTCCACACATGGATCACGTTGGTAGTCGCAGTTCAAACCCATATGAGTGGGCTAGAAAAGAAAACATTTTAAAATTCTAAGATATGGATTTTTAATACAAATGCAAAATAATTGATGGGAAGTTAAATGCTGAATAAAAAATCAGGTTTTTAAGGAGATGATGTATATAGTATTATGAATATGAATTCAGTAGTTCATTTACTATCACTATTTAACACCATCTGAGATGTTGCACTTATGATTAGACCAACGGTAATACGATTTGCAAACAATGGAGATGATAAATTTCCTATGAATGATAAAAAGTGCAATATGAATCAAAGTCTGCAAATTTTCAACAATGCCCACCTTGCAGTAAAATGTACTCCAAAAATGAAAAACAGACTAAACGTCATCTTCCTTGTTAAAATGACGAACCTGATAGACTTCTAAGATCTCTTTACCTTCATGTAGTGACCAGATCCCAAGCTTATATACTTGGGTCGCTGTTCGTAAGGAGAAAGATTTTATATCTTAAGTAACACGAATCTGAGGAATTTTTTTCCTTGTGATGCAATCAACGACAATCTAACTCTCCTGAGAAAAATACTGACCGAAGGTGAATATCCGCCAAAATTCATTGGTAAGAATATAAGTTTCAAACCAACCTCAACGACAAAGAGAAAACTTTACCTGAACTTTGATTCCTGGAGTAACATAACTGAGGATAACCCAAAGAAAAGAATTTCAGATCTCTTCAAAAGGAGTTTCTTCGTATAAACTTTGAGATCAGTGTTTTGTATTTGACCTAAACTTAACAATAACTTAGATTTCGCATCTAGGAGCTTCAGTATACATTGACTAGTTTACCTCCTGCTGTAGAGTTGGGTATGTCGGTTGTTAAATGGGTGTGCTATCCAAGAGAGTTTGAGTAAATTATCCTGCAAGTTTGAAAATAGGCATCAGTAGATCTGTAAGAAGCTAATTACTTGGATACCTTGTCAAAACCGGTTTATTTGATCGAAACAAACTCATTCATTCATAGAAACCTGACAAGGTTTGTGAAATTTCAACTTTTTCGCATTCCTATAGCTCGCCCATACTGAAACTATGTATAAAGAGTATAGTGTTTAGCAACAACTCTTCAGAATGAATACCTGAATTTGTCAGCAAGAGAGAGTGAACAATAGTATCAAATGGGTCAGGAGTTATACGGATATCTACATATAATCGTCCATAATAGTTGCGTTATAATGGAGCTGGAATAAAATCTAAAAATAAAAGTCTCTGGATTGAAACTTGATGGCTGGAAAAAGTAAAATGGAAGCCATAAGTTTTAGACATCGTTTCTTCGATTCTGAATAATACATTAAGTGCTCTCTAAACAGTGAATGAAACAGATATTCAGTAGTTTACATATTCCATGAGCGTTTCGTATAATGTTAATTTATGAAAAAAAATTCTGAATTTACATCACATTTTATCATATTATCCAAGTTATTATATTTGCAGGCTCTAAAGAATAGATAATTAGTACGAAAGGTTATACTCATGTGATTTAGCTGTGTTACCTTAGTGTAATCATATTTACTAATGTACTTCTGTATAAAACGTGATTCTCTCCTATTTTATTTTACGGTATAATTTAATGTTCAAACTAACCACATATCCCATTCTTTTTTATTATTGTAATGAATAGAAATCTGCAAAAATATATTTCCCGAACTACTGATCATTTAAAATCCCTAAGTAAACAAAGTAAGTCAAAATATAATGGACTGTATGGAAATGTAAATTATAAGGGAAATTCAATTTAATTTGTGCCTAATTTTGAAATAGGAGACAGTTACCAAACTACTGACTAATATATATATATATATATATATATATATATATATATATATATATATATATATATCCTAGTTTCTGTCAATATAATCAATGTCGACCTTTCTTAGACGATGAATTAATTTGTTGTTTTTCAACGAAAATATTGTCAATAAATCACAGTCACATGAAACATAAACTTTAAATCAATGTCCACTAAAATGAAAATGGAAGTTATCCTGTTTTTAGACATCATTTTCAGCTAGAGATTAATACATAAAATTTTACAACATATAGTGTTCAGTTATCGATTTATCATAGTTAATAGTGGAGGCCTAAAAATAAATGATTGATTAGATGAGACAACACTACTCATTCACACGAAGTGTACTCTTAGCTATTTGTTCCAAAATTTAAATCTTCAAGTCTTAACTAATTAAAAAAATGTGTTATTGACAGTTGATACAATGTTTTCATATTTTGTTTATAAAGCGATTCATTTAAATGTGTATGCTTTTTATCTATTCTATGAATACCGAGCATTTCTACAAGATACCTTTGAAAGTATGATTTTTCCGGCTAATTTTATCATTCACAAACTTTAATTTCATGTGTTTCTTTTAATACATATAATTTATAGTGGATATCTCACAATAAATCATAATGATCTGAATTTAATTATTATTTTCCGTCTTGTTCACAACAAACAAATACGATTTTTAAAAATAAAATGAACTACTGAATACTTATATAAGTAGGTCAAAGTGCTGTACATAAATTTGATATGATTTTTGGTCGTTAATAGGAAGTTGTGAAACAATCTAATAATCAAAATGGTATTGTATATCTTGTTCATCGAAAAATAACTTGGTAATCTACCGTAATATTCATGAGCAAATATATTGAGACTCACGACACGCCCTGGTGAAAATGCCGTCAAACAGTGAACGTATTTTAAACAGGGCTTCCTGATAGTTACTTTTAACTATTCGATACCACAGTTGCACTCTCTTAAACACATCATTTTGGAGAGTTATAAATGTCCACTTAAAATGAAAAGTCAAGATAATTCCCTGTTGTGTATTAATCATCATCGACCTTAAAGAGAAGCTTCACATGATACAAACAAACAAATTTACAAAAATTGCAACTGCCTATAAAATTACGATGTTATGATTTCACTATTATATTAAATTTACATTACATATGATTACATTGTCTCAGTTCCACTTTAAAATTGTAATAACTCTAATGACCTTTAAATAGTAGGGACTTTTCTGTATAAATAGATAACTTAGACTTCAGATATGGCTCAGGATAGAAGCCAGTGAAGATCCTGCTGTAATTTTCTTTTACTTTCTTCATACAAGTGAGAGCAACTACTTTAACTAAAAGAATCTTTTCTGGTTGTATTTTTAACTGTATTGCTTCTCCACTTATCATCATTATTATTTTACTATTATTTCACTCCCATACACTTATTTCCGTTCACTTTTGTTCCTTTTTTAAAATTATACTCACCAACCTTTCTCTATTTCTTCACAATCTCATTTTTATTGTGTGGCGCATTTATATTTTAGTGCCCATTTGTACTAATGTTTATGTGTCCAATTAATAATAACAATAACTTACGCGACAAACACAGAAATATCTGTCTTGCACAATATCACATTTCCTGGTTCCAACCTTGCTACAATATTTGTCACACAGATCGATCGCTTCACAATACCCTAAACACATGAAAAACTATGTTTAATCGCTTAGCTTATAAGATTTACGAAAAAAACACTTCACTTAGATATTTGATTAATTAATTTAAAATTAGTAGTATTCGGGATTAAATGAAAAGTTAATCAACACAAAGTCATGATATTCTACTGAAATCTTTGTTCATGCTGCCAAGAAATATCAGTAAATTACCTTTCAAAACAGTTATATAAATACAAAAAAATGGTCTTTTAACTTTTCCAAACAGAGTATATTATTTCATATTTCCACACCACAGAACAAGTGTAGAAATACTGAACACAGAATTTATAAGTCCGTTTTGGAAAATATGCCTCATATGAAGCAATTTTAGCAAATCATTCATCCTGATAGTAGCCAGTACTGATTCATAATTAGCTATGAGATGAATCATTCGAAGTTTTAGTGCAAAGCAACAATATCAGGTACAAGACAATAAAATTAGATAATGGTCACGCTTTATTTTAAAATACCTGAAAGATGAAAATATCAACCACAGGATTGACATTTTGCCACAAATGAAGAGACTTGAATATCTAAACAAACAAATCAAGTGGAAGTTAGAAATTGAAATGAAATGGGCACTGAAAAGCTAAGTTCTTATAAATTGTATCCATTCATTAGATGAACGAAAAAATGCTGGATATTACACACATATTGAACATTAAGAGGTAGATATGTTACAAATCATAGACACTTATCCTATCTCCCACTTCTCAACAATATTGTAAATTGCATTCCGCCTATGTTTCAGTAGCTTCACTCTCATAAGGTTGAATGTAACCAATCAGTATAAAATGTAGTGTATTTATTACAAGCATTTTATTATAAATATTTACATATTTAGAAAATATATAGTTTATTTTATGAAACTCAGTTGGTTTTTTTTTTTTAGTTTATATTCAAAAACAAGGAGTGTATATAGATGGTCCTGATATACAAATTCCACAGACGTTCTAAATTATTTTCTAAAAATATTCATAACTAAAAAGTTTTTTTAATCATTAAAACAAAATATTTCATCGGATTAGAAATCTGACATATTGTGCTTGTAAAATAACTTAGATAAGACCTTCGATTTTTTTACAAGAACATTTTCACCAAAATATCATATCTTGCTGATTGTAAGGAGAACTAATTATTAAACAATATTCCTTTTTTTTGGTTTTCAATATATGTTTAGTTCAGCTTTGACGAGTGTGACACTAATATTTCAACAACATAAAAGTTGTTCGACATACTTTTAACTCGTAAATAAAATTAAGGTATGTCAGATATTTCTGAATATAAGATGCTAAAAGATATCAGCAAATATTTTCTTGATAATATCCCGACCGTTGATGCTACCTTGAAGTGGTGGTCGGGCTTGCCTATCGTGATGAAGCAACTGAGCTATACTGGCTGGAACAACCGTTCCTCAAGGTCCTACCATGTCAGGCAGGTCGGTTGAAAAGCGGTAAGGCTAAAAGCAACAAATCCAAGGTCCGAAGGTGAAATCGTACTGCTGACTGTACAGAGCTGTGACAGCAGTAAGGTGTTTCCCTCAGACAACCAGCATGACAGCGATGCTGCCTTCCCACAAGGAGGGGTGGGGTTAGAAAAGTTTGATCCTAAAAATTCACATCTCACTTTATCCCACGCATATCCGTCTCCAGTGGTAAGGTCTTAACAAGTACGGAGCTAACACAAAAGTTACTCATAAAAAGGTCATGTGTGACCGACCTTAAGCAGTTGTCCCTCGGGCACTGCGGTCACGCTCTCAGGTCACTATGACCACCTCTAAACCAATTTCCTTTTCAGGTACCTTTAGAAGAACGCTTCCACGGTGTGGGCAACCGGGAAGTGATAACCGCCCTCATACCTCTAATAGCACTCAAGACCACTGTATTCTTGATAATATCCTAAGAATATTAAATTTATAATTATTTCCGCTTTGAAAGTATATGAGAAAAGTTAGTTGCATCTAATAATAAATGTTGACGGGACATTCAGATGAAATGGTTCTGTAGGTGAAGATGCCGATGAGATACAGTCTTTTAACCTCCTTGAGTAACAATGTAAGCATGTTTGGAATGCGTTTTTGTCTCTCTAATTGCGAAATGTTGCTTCAAGATTGGTCTGTGTCAGCTATTGAATTAATGATAGGAAGTGATGTAGCTGGGTGCAACAACTACTTCACTTATCATAAAGGTTGCATCAACCCTGATGGGTTGGTGTCTGGCGAAAGATCGATCAACCTTCGCCAAGTTTCACCACTTGTGGTGCAGATGAGATATCTACCTACCAACTAAAGGACGAGCACGGTGTGTACTAGCTCATTCTATTCTACTTTATGGCTGTGAAACGTGGTCATTATGAATAGAGGATGTTCGTAGGTTACTAGATATCTTCGAAAAATTGCTCGCGCATTTTGGGACCACCGAGTAGGTAATGTAGAGATTCAACAACGGCATTAAATAAGTTTGAAAAAATCGATTTATGGGGTTATACATGTTCATCGATCGATGTGGTTGGGACATGTATTACGCGTACGCGTCCACCAGATACCTGGTTGGCCTTTGTTTGCTGGTGTAGGAGTAGGTTAGAATAGAGCAACAGGCAATCAAACCAAAATGTAACATCAGTCTAAGTAGGTACAGAAGGTTCGGTTGAGGTCTTTACCACTTTTTTCGCTATTAGTTAAAGAATTTAGGTGAAATGACTAAGAATCTTTTGGAACGGTGCAGATTTATTCACTCTTTGCCTTCCCCTAGTCCTTAAGACTCTGAATGATCTTATAATTCATTTCTACTCTATGAATTCATATTTTCTCCTCAAGTCACACCCCCTGCAGCTAATTTCTTTTACTACCATTGATACTATTAATACTTCTACTTCTCTGGGACTTATCATCACTATTTCTTATGTGATGTGAAGACTTAAACTGACGTACATAAGTGCCGGGTTCTTTGTTATATATGACTGACACTTGTGTACAAATAAAAAACATCTATGAAAAAAGACCGAAACTAATCGACCATTTTTTTATTTCTAATCCCGCTTGATATGAATTAAGGCAAAAGACCTTAGTTCGTCGTACAATATCATAAATTACAAATATTGATTCATACCATGGTTACACAGCAAACAATTACAATACTAATTAATGCGTGTAGAAACCCAGTCAAATGTCAAAGATCAATCGATACTGTTATTGTACTATACATAATACTCTATCCATTTCAATTATCACCATTATTTATATAAAATAATTTAAACAAACAAATATTTTGTTATTACCTTTATATCCTTTAACTTGTTTCCATTGATAACCATTACGACATTCACATTTGTAACTATTTTCAAAATATCCAGTTCTTATACATTTACTTGACATTGTATTAGCTACTTCAAGACATGGATTAATTAAACATGGATTTGGGCAAAAACCATATGGTAATTGATAATCTTTATTAAATTGTTTAGATTGAAATATTAAACATAATAAATATATAAATATAACACTCCATTCATCAATTGTTTTAGGTAAATCACCTTGATCTATTATATTTTCTGATTTAAAACGTAACCATATATTAGAATTATTAATTAATAATAGAAAATATAATCTCCATGAATGCATTAATAAAATATATAATGATTGATTAGGTATATATTTCTTTGGTATTAATGATTTCATATAAGATTTTTTAATAAAATTTCTATCATTCAGATCTATATCATTCATTATATGAATAGAATGCAAATAACCTATATTGTTTATTGTATTACCATTTATAATTAATTTTAATACATTAAGAAATGTTCTATCATTAAATTGTATTAAATCATTAATTGTCATAGATCTATTATTCAATATTGACTTTGATAATTCATAGTTATTATAATAATAATAGTCCATAATATTAGTTAGATTAATGTAAATTTGATGACCAAGATATAAATTATGTAAATTTTTTATTAAATTCGTTTCTATAATACCATTATATTGTCTACGTGATTTTAAATGAATCATATCATTGAATGGAATAAAATGTGAAAATAATATATTGATTTTATTTATTGAACGATCTAATGTTAATAAATTTAATTTTGTTAACTTATTTGAATTTGAAATACTTATTGAATTAAATAAATTTAAGCAGTATAATAAGTAGTAATAAATGATCTTACACATATAGTGTACATAGAGATTACTGTATTCACATATGATATATATATATATATATATATATATATATATATATATTTCAAATGTTTTTGGATTGATTAAATCTAATCAATACATTTGTGTTAGCAAATCCCTTGTAATTTATATATATTGATGGTATTCATAAATGAATATATTACTTGCTATGGTTTTTAGTATTTTTTTCCTTAACTGCCGTTTATTTATTTTTTTATTTATAACGTTTACAAATATTGTAAACCTTTTCACCACGTTTTATTTAAATAGAATAACATCATTGTTTATTTTATCCAAGTGGAAATTTATCATTTTTTAATTATTTTTTTTAATGACTAAATGTACTCCTGAATATCATTAAATGAAAAAAATGAAACGTTTAACAATAATAATCTATACATTTGAACAAGTTAATGGTTATTGTAAGTCAGCAGTTTGGTAAATAACTCATTGTCCTCTGAAGCAATAAATACTGAGTTTGAATTCCACTGTTGATATTAATATTAGGATGCAGGCAAATCTAAATAACCAGTCTTAAATAAGATGAAACTTGTGTTCTAGATCACACTCCTAGCCTTAACATAAAAATATACTCTAACTTACATGTTCAGGAAATATCAAAGTAATCACATGCTCAAGGTGAACATATATCTGCTGACAGAGATTGATAAAATACAGCCGCAAATATCAGCAATGGGGAGAAATAAATCTTTACAAATATTACTATACTTGACCTTATTACTCATATCATGATTCAGAAAATAATTTGAAACTAAGTATTAACATCTCGATATTGTTGTAATCATTAAATGTGATTATATCACTATCGCTACCATAATTTCTATCAACACTTTTATAGTTCGTCCACCAAACTAGTAACATCTTATACATGGTCCTCATGATTGATTACATCATGATCGGAATCAGCTTTTCTGCTTGATATGGTGGAAAAAAGTCAAAATTCGATTGATTTACTCATTATGAATTTTGTTCAACATTACTTCTGTTCTGATTATTCGGTTTTGTTTTCTCGTATGATATTTTATTCTGTATAATATACGATATTTTTGTATTCAATTGACATGAACTATGCTCTATATGTGATTTGTGATAGCTGAGTATTTTTCATATATGTGATTTCATCCTAATTATTAATCAAAATAGGTGTACAATCAATATATAAATGAGTGCATTCTCGACTAAGGTCGTCGTCGTGTTTTGACGTTAATAAATCTTAACTTATACCAGTCTTTGTGTTCTTATTTTCGCGTCGTGGGAATTGCGGATGTCCGCCTGTAGCTCTTCTAGATCTACTGCTGGTCCCAAGCCCGGGTAAAGGAGGAAGTTTGAGCATGGGGTTAGCGAACCCGTCCCGTAGAAAACGAACTCGCTAAAAAAAACGCTAACCAGAAAAAATAATTTAAACCATTTAAACTCTGTACTGGGAGTTAGGAGGTTTTCATTTACAAAAACTATGATCACTCTAAGCAACAATTCTCATCGTGTTCGGCATGAGATTCTCTCCCTCGAAATGCAAAATGTTGCTTCAGGATTGGGTTGCATCGACACCTGAACTAATCATAGGGAGTGAAGTAGTTATGCGTGTCGACTGCTTCACTTATCTTTGAAGTCTCATCAGCCCTTGTGGTCTGGTGTGTGACAAAATCTCAGCACGGAAACAGAAGGCTCGACTAGCTTTTCCTAACTTGCGTCATTTGTGGCGTAGGCGAGATATCCGTCTATCAACCAAAGGACGTGTTTACTGTACAGCAGTTCGTTCCGTCCTACTTCATGACTGTGAAACGTGACCGGTAAGAGTAGAGGATATCCGCATGTTGCCAGTATCCGATCGTAGGTGTCTTCGAAGCATTACTCGTATATCCTGGGACCACCAAGTAAGTAATGCAGTTGTTAGGAAACAGGTACTAGGTAAGGATGGCAAATCAACTGATAAAGTAGTGCAACTTCATCAGTTGAGATAGCTGGGAAATGTGTTGCGCATGCCCAACCACCGATTGCCCCGACAGGCGATGTTTTATGGGGTAGGAGTAGGTTGGAAGAAAGCTAGGGGCGGCCAGGCCAAAACATGGCACAAATCCATGAATTCACAGACAAGTGGACTGAGCCATGTTGGTAGGTGTTGACTACTTGGTTGGGGTCCGCGAGGCGATAGCAACCGATGATTAGAGACCTTGAATGACATGGCTCAAAATCGTTTGCAATGGCGCAGGTGCATCCACTCTTTGTGTTCTCCCAAACTCTAATCTTCTGAATTCTTCATGTCCTTTACTCTCTTTCCAAATCTATTCCACTGGACTATATTCCATGAATAACATCATCAAACCTTAATGTCCCCTATCTCTACTTATACTTTCAGTACCTCTACCACTACGGGATTTGAATCGATAACTGCGTCTCTGTGCTAGTGTGGTGTGGCAACTCGAACTGATGTACGATGTTCCACGTTGTTACTGACTGACTGACACCTTAAAATGTTAGTCGTTCTCGATGTATTCATTTTAAGGTTAAGAACTAAATTGTACAAAATCTCAAACTTCAAGTAATGTCATAGGATTACTCTTATATAAAATATGAATTCTAGGCAGAGTAACTGATAATGAAACACATATCATCATTTGTAATTACTAAATTCTTAGTGTGTTCATTTTGTTATTTATCATATAATCTCAGTTCTTTTTTTAATAAACTTATTCCATTGCTTTCAAATATTTTACTTGAAGCTTACTGATTTAAATTGGAGCCTTCAAAGACTTTCTATATTAATAGCTTATAAAAATGTTTGTCACTTAATCTAAGTTTATGCTTTAAATGATAAAGTAAGTAAAAGTTTTATTAATCACATCCAATTCAAATAAACAATCTATTTAGTTTATCAGTGATATTATTTATTTATTTATTTAAACACATAAACAATGGTACAAGGAGGCACCAAATAGATATGTGCCACATAAATCATTCAATTTGTGTGAGAGCTGGGATACTGGCTGGGTTCCCAAACCGAAGCAGGTGATTTTCTTAGGAAGCCAAACCCAGAGCTTTTGATCTAAAGTTCTTATCCACAAGGTAGTGGAGCAACTTTAGTGAAACAAAAGCATCCATTTCTCTGATATTATTATTCATAGACTCTATAAACTCAAATTTATGATCAGCAAAATACTTCGACTGATGATACAACGATATTTCATTATTATAATCATAATATTTAAGACACTTAAGAGTTAACTGTTTTTTTTCAGAAGTGTTACGTAATAATCTGCATAACAATAATTAGAGCCAATAAACAAAGTTATTATGTTCACAAGACGAAATTTCTTTTTAAAAAAATAGATTTCCATTTTGTTAACAGATAAAATATCCCCCTAGAATATTCAAAAAACAAAGAATTTTTTTGAGCGAACAATTGTTCTTGTAATAATTTCATCATTAAGCTCCACAATTATAAGTCTATACTTATCGTAATATTTTACAAAGGTCAAAATACAGTATCTATTGATGAATTCGACAATATTATATATTAAAAAAGTAGGTGAATGTTTGTATCTGTGACGACATAAAATTGTGTTATGTATAAATTAGAAAGATCACTTAATAAAGGCTGGAATAATTTGATTTGTTACGAAAAATTAAAGACTAATAGATGGAAAGAATAAAAAGAATGATAAAACAATGACAGAGGAATTTCGATAATGTAATAAGAAGACGAAGATTATCAGAACTATGTGATATATTAGCGCAATACATTTCAAACAATGTGATCACACATATTCTTGTTAAGAACATTTATATATAAAAATAAAAGGTCAACTAGACTAGAAATGGGGTAAGAAGAGATAAGGATAATAATAAGAGTAATAATAATAATGTGAACACAATTTGAAACCTAATCACTCTGGATAATAAGCCATGGAAAACCTGGAAGCACTGGACGGCCATAATAGGACGAAACGGCCGTCCAGTGCTTCCAGGTTTTCTATGGTGGTCTAGCTTCAACTGACTCATGATCTCAACCATTAAAATGTTTTTGTTATAATAATTAAAGGTCATAGAGGTGTAAGAATAAATAAGGTAATATGATGAGTATTTACGAATAAAAACAATGAAAATATGAGACATAAGTAAAGGGGGAATAATAATAATAATAATAATAATAATAATAATAATAATAATAATAATAATAATAGGATAATCAAAATAACTAAGGCCAAGGTAGCGATAACGATAAAACGTACTTCTTTTGTACGCATAGTTCTGGTTTA